TGCTGGATGAGAAGAGGGCGCTGAGTTCGATAGTTGGGCACTCGTGAACGATTGCCTAAGCGCATTTCGTCCCTCGTGGCGGTTCAGCAGATCAGGCGTCGAGTCTTCTGTCACTGAACGGATAATGTAGGCCAACACCAAGCCGAGGATGGTGAGCACCGCCAGCAAAGTGACCATTCTGGCCAACTTGTGGTTCTCAATTAGGCTCAGATACTCCTCCTCCTCGTCGTTCCGAGTGCAGCATGTGCAGCACAGTATGTCCACAATGAATAGAGATCTTGCTCCCAGACCGTCGTCTTCGTCGCTGCCGGTGCTCAACTGTCTGTTGGCTTCCAGATCTGCATTCTTCCAGCTCATCTCGTTGCCACGACATAAGCTGGGATACTCGTTTTTTCTCGTCTTCTTCTCCAAAGCACCGGCTGCAGCTGTACCAACACCGTCGAGCTTTTCCACTTGCTCATGTTCAGCATAGTCAACCCTAAATGACTGGCTACTTATGGCGCTGTTGGTGCGCTGTCGCCGGGCAAGATAGTGATGCTGCCGACTGGCTGGAGACTCTGAGAGACCGAGATTGTCGCCCAACGTGGCGAATATCATCGCCAATGACTTACGCGGTTGGCGAAACAGACGTGCTCCGGCAGAACTGGAATTGCGATCCGCAGCTCCATGCTCCAGCATCAGCTTGGAGTTGTGGTACAGCTGACTGTCAAATAATGCCGCAGGTACACGTTCACAAAAGTCACTGTCCAAATTGTAATTCGGTACCTGAAGCAGGCTTTTTCGTGGGAATACCATTCTTCCCAACGCGTTGTCATCTTGATTTTCCATCTTTTCCTCCTCTTCAACCGCGTTATCTTTATCCGCTTCAGTTTCCATTATGTTGATTTCACCGTCTATCACATCTGATGCTGAATGGGCCTTGATCTGATCCACTTTTTGACCAGTCGCAGCATTGGCTTTTTCCATCAGCTCAGCCATTGTGTCTGATCCACTAGAGTTGCCCCTTGGCGTTGAAACGAATGAACTCAGCTGCTGGAAAATAGAAAGATACTTTTCTGTACTTATTTTTAGCTTGTATGTCCCTTTCGATATAATATTTGCTTTCATCATAATACTTTTTAACGACTCAAAATGACCTAATGATCATGATTTAGAAATTTTCTTTTATCATTATAAGCTTTTACTGATTGATATAACATTGCTTTTTTTAAATTTTCCTAAGAGATAAATTAGTTTTTTATTTTCATATTTAAAAAATGTCTACATTTACTCTGCAGTATATGTAAGTAACTTTGGCTTATGCTGCTAATCTCTTCATGCAATAGATACACTTTACTCGATTTGCTAAAATGCTATTATTATGATAAGCTATAGATTAGAGTACTGTTCTTGTAAGATATTATGTGAACTCACAGTCCCTTTTGGTTCCACATTCCAGCGACTCGGATACATTCATGCCAAGAATTTGTCTGTCCAGTGGCAGACATCTTCACAGCCTGGAACCTGTCTCGAGGGAAACTTTGAGTATTAAGACAAATGTAGCCAGCTTCAATCCTACCTACTTTCATAGATGCAAGATGCGGTACTGTGCCAATGATTGCTTCGAACGTACAAATTGCGAGTCCTCTCTAATGAAATTGTATGTCTAAATAAAAAGTACAGCTTTTCTTGTTGGTCCCGAGGCGGTCTAATGAAACTCATCATGTTACACATGACACTCCGTGATCACCGAAATTGAAGTAATGGGGTCGAATCTGGCGTCTACTCTAAAATTTGCTACAAGTGTAATCCGAGTTTTCTATCACAAACTATATTTAGACGTTATGTAGTGATATAAAGTGTGTATATTGCTGAAGCCCGGCTTACATTAATCTATTGACTTGATTATTGCAATAACCAATTTCACACAGCATATTAAGACAAAAGATTCATCTTACCCCGTTGTTGCTCTCCATGATTTGTCGTGTTCTCAATTTCTGCTTTGGGGGTGTTTCAGCATCATTTATCTTCGCGTCGTCACGGTTCATACCGTTTTCGCTGCCGTTCACGTCGTAATTATAGTCGTTGTCGTCCACGATAATTTTCCAGCTAGGAAACCTGGCTCTCAAACTCATTGTACACATTTTCGCCACTTCCACATTTTCTACAATCTGGCCGCATACAGAATGATCACTTTTATCTATACTCGTTTTGTCTTCGGCCTGCATGTTTTGTATAGACGGTACCTCGCATTTTCTAATGATGCTAATAGTTGGCGATGCTAGGGAAGGATTTCCATTCTGAAAATGAGTCTTTACAGGCGTTGACATGAAGGATGAGGATGCGATTATGGTGTTGCTGGAGGCAGTGTTGGTCGTGGAATCCAGTGATGGGAGAGATCCGTTATTTCCCATTGAGGAATCGAGTTTTCCTAAGTTTATATTTGCACTATGTTGCTTGTTAATTTTACTCTCCCGGCTCATCTTATATACAAAGCTTGGACGTGATACTTTGGCATCTGTGTCATGTTCGTTGTTCATCCACATTAAATTGTTTCCAGCACATTTATTTGGGTGTATTTCTCTTCTATCGTGTTGTGCCGCAGTGAATTTTTCCAGACTGATTCGATCAAACGAAGACTCTATGTCTGCAGTGTCTGCAGAAATAGAATGTGAACTTAGTGGATCACTTCTTTCGTAGTGTTTTAGCTGTGCGCTTGAGAAATGAGTAGAAATACTAGAAGTGGGGTCCGACGTTGGAATAGATGTGCTCGACAATGAATCTAATGAGCTGGATGTTGATTTTGAAGCTAAATAGTCGGAAGAGGTGCTAGCGTTTATGCAGGCTTCTTGGCTTGTTAACCTTGGTCCTGATCTTCTCTGAGCACCATCATTTCGGAATGGTGGGAGCCGCGCATGAGATCGCGATCCGATTCGAGAAGAGGGAGGAAGGAACTTCTCTCTTTGACCATTTGATAGGCGAAATGGTCTACCAGATTTTCTTTTGTTTTCTTGAAATGCTCCAGAATTTCTTATGAACTCTTGAGATGCGAACTTTCCTCTTTTGAAGATCATTGTGTCCTTGAAAGATGCGGAATGTGTTATTGGATCTAGTGAGTATAGAGGAAGGCGAACTCCGAGCTGTGAAAAAAGCAATTTAATAGCATGTGCTCAATGTACTGGGTGAGGTTTGTCTAATTTTTTATTTGCATATTCACGAAAATATCATACATGAATATTTATCCTTCGTTAAGTATGGATATAGTTAGAAACTAAATAAATATTAAAAAAAAATCCAATTATGCATTTTTATTTATAATTGACCAAGCAGAGTTTATTAAATAATAAAAAATTGAGATGATGAAGGACTGGTAGTTGACTATTTTTACAATGATAAAATCAGGCCTTTTACATTGA